AAAATAACCCAGTTATGGGGGTCCCTAGGTGACATTAGTGGTCTTAAGACCCCTGATGTCTCCATAAAGAGGACCTGTCACTGCAAATTGGCTATCACATAGGGAGCTTGCTTGCTCCCTATGTGATAGCAATAAAGTTCAATCAAGTTAAATTTGTTACAAAAAAATAAAAAAATCACATATCAAAGCAATAAAAAAAATTAAAGTGCCCTGCCCCCACGAGTCAAGCCCGCCTACGTGCGAAAACGCAGATTACATCCATTGCGCCGCACATGTTACATATCGCCGTGAATGTCGGAATGAGAGCAATAATTCTAGGGTCATCAATCACTGATAATACTAAACTGATGAGCGGTAAAAGCTTTTAAAGCGTCGGCTATGGTCAATTTTGAGTATTATAGTTTTTTTGCGATTTAACGGGTGCGCGCAATTTTCTCCTGCTCAACGAGCGCACACACACCATGGCAGCTCCTCTGCCCATCTCCGTCTCTCGGCAATGAGGACGTTACGCTCCCGGCCTCTGCAGCACCATCCATCAAGACTCCACCTCTCCGGCGCAAGAAAGCTCTATCTGTCCCCAAAAAATTGAATAAACTTAATTTCAGTACAGCGTTGTGTGATGGAATAAATGTTAGACAAAATACTGTGGTGCTGAAAACTGAAAAATGGCCTGGACAGGAAGGGGGTTTGGCACCCCGGTCAGCAAGTGGTTAAATAGTGGGCTTACATAAATCACAGATTGATATTCTCACCTTCCTACCCTTTCATTGGGCTTAACTGACATAATGCAAAATATAACTCGATCCACAACAAAGAGATCAAATGCAAAAGATAAAATTGAGACCTTTTCTGTGTTTTATACACTCACTGGCCTCTTTATTAGGTACCCCTGTTCAACTGCTTGGTAACGCAGATATCTGATCAGCTAATCACATGGCAGTAACGCAATACATTTAGGCATGTAGACATGGTTAAGACGATCTGCTGAAGTTCAACATGAGCATCAGAATGGGGAAGAAAGATGATTTAAGTGACTTTGAACAACAATCTCAGACCTATAATCCTGTATTATAATAATAATAATAATATCTGCTGTTCTACTGATCCACTGATAATAAACGAGGTTTGCAGAATAGTACAACACCCCAAACTTGAAGCAGATGGGCTATAGCAAGAGAAGACCACACCCGATGCCAATCCTGTCAGCTAAGAACAGGAAACTGAGGCTACAATTCGCAAGGGCTAACCATGTTGCCTGGTCTGATGAATCTAAATTTCTGCTCCACAATCAAAAGTGTCTGTATCCCATCACACTCCTAACTGAAATTCAATCCTATCACACACCTAACTGAAATTCAATCCCAACTAGTAATGGGATAGTGCAATAGTGAATGCGGATGCACATCAAACCATAAATAATTAAAGAAATTACCGTCACTCCAAAGTTCAGAACGTCAGGTTCCCTTTATTCACATAGTGATCTCACAATGTGTGGCAATGTTTCCTAACCCAATTCGGTTTGCCTGAAGAAGGAACCGAGCTGGGTTTCCGAGATGTCCAACCCACGACTAGCAAGGTATATCTAATAAAGTGACCAGTGAGTGTATTTCTTTCAAAAGTGGCATTCTGCATAATACAATATAGTGTTTACATCTTTTTAAAATATTTGATGTTCCCCTTCTAACACCCAAGCCCGAGTGGCAACTTTCTGTCTTTGTTTGCTTTGTTTGGAGGTTTTAGACCATCAAGATCATTATCAGATACTCTTGTATTCAAAAACCATCAAATCAGTCAGTCTGCTTTGGAAAATGACTTTTGATTTATAAGGGTCACAGAGATTGACAAAATAGACAAGAGATAGTTACAGATTAGTTTGTTTAATCTGTAAAAACAAGTGTTTGTTTTGTTCCTTTTTTATTGTACTACACGACAAACTACAACATCAAAACAGAACATTATTACTCCAAAAACTTACAAGACCCTACAAAAACACTCTTCCAGATTGTGAGTTGTTCCAAGTTCTAAATACTTGTAATATTCCCATGCAAAAAAATCTTCAGAACATTTCTTTGTAATGGTCAAAAAGTACTATTTCTTTCCATAAACCATAGGACAAAGGCCTAACTTCAATTTTTGTAGCCATATATTGTATATGACCCAGATAAAGTAAACATTAGAAACTGTTGCAAAAGCAATTTTCCTTTATTATATGTGTATTATTTAAACATCCAGACAATATTAGTTTGACAATTAGTAGACTTAGTAGATAAGTAAAATATCGCAAGGTGGTATGAGGTATTTGTAGCTGCCAACACTATTTGAAACTGGCTTATAATATTTCTCTTGGAGGAAAGTGTTCACAAAAGGACTAATTTTTTGTTAGACTCACCTACTAATAAAACATTTTTTGGCAAATATTCCTTGATACACTATCATAGTTTTGTTTCTAGCAGACCTTTGTCAATTCATTCTTGACACAATATAGTGGGAATCAGGAAATGATTAGGCCAGAATACAGATGTCAGGTTTGAGTGTTTGAGTTTTCCAACCTTGAGTTGTGGAGGTAAAAAAAAAATCAAGTACAAAAGGGACTGAAGAGAATTCAAGGCAGTCCAAATACACATCAGTAAGTAAACAGTTAAAAATGCAATATTACAACTACATTTGGTGTTATACTATGATAATCCTACAATAACTAAACTTCCCATATACGTAACAGGTATACTGTTGGGTCTAATAATATTTGCTCAAACTAAGAGACAAAGATTGGCAGCAAATGGATGGAAATGTATAATAAACAATGATGTCAGGAAAGCTAAAACTACCTAATCAATGACCATTAATTACATCTGAAAAGCCAGACAAACTTTTTTCTACTGGCATGGGAGGATACCTTTCAGAAAGTATTTATTTCGCAACAGTTGGCAAGGCAAATATATATGCAAGTTATAAAGTCAGTTGTATGCTGCAGTATTTATTGCTCTCTCTTACAGATTCTTTTACCAGAAATGAGAAGTATTTTCAAGGTGAAATGTGAATGACTGACAGACCTGAAGACTAGCCACCTAACAATATACCACAGAGAAAACCATGCAAGCAGGTCTAGTGATACCACATCAAACTAAAACACGTATATCCTTTTTACCAATAGCTTTGAAACAAATGTGATCTGAACTGTTCTAAAGACTAAGTCAAGCCAAAAATTTTTAAGTTTTAGGTGTTGGGAAGCATTTAAATTTGTGATGGGTTTTTACTGCTATTTGGGACTCAGTTAGAGAACTTACTTACTATTCAGTGACATGGGTTTTACCAGACAGGAAGTGAGGGAAAACCTGCAGCAGAGCAAACAGGGGTTCTAACCTTCCTTTACTCTACTATTAAAAAGTGTTTTTATTTTTGTTGGTGTTGATGATGGAGAGTTCACCTCAAAGACTGTTAAAATGTTGTCAGTAGGGGACATCTTTTTAATGGAGCCATGGATAGCAGCAAAAAGGATGAAATCCAGTGGATGCCTGAATATACCTTGTTTTATTATGGTATGTTTAGTGCTGTGGCCATTCCCCTCCTTCTCCACACTATTGGTCAGTGAGGCTGCCCAGCACAGTGATGGGCCAAAAGTGAAGTGCAGACAAGGCTGGGCCTAAGAACTGGTTGGAAAGCTGAAGTTGGTACTTGCACAATAAAGTGATTCAGCTATGCAGAGCCACCTCTGGCTGAGCTTCACAAGATTCCCTTCTTCTTTAGTAAATCAAACCCTAAGTATGTACAGTGGTATCTCGGTTCATGAACTTAATTCGTTCCACGATTCTGGTCGCAAACCGACTCAAATTTCCCCTTTGGGTTCAATGTAAATAGGGTTAATCCGTTCTGACCCCTACGAACGTGGTCAGGAACCGATTTTGGTCGCAAACAGAATCACATTTTCCTATAAGGTTTAATGTAAATAAGGTTAATCCATTCTGGACCATATGCAAGAGTACAGTATGAAGCGAGTGAACACTAACCTTTGCACTTTCTTTGGAGCCATGCTGGATTGAATAATGCTGTACAGTACCATATGCTTCACAGCAAGTGTGCACAGGTCTGTCTGCGAACGCGATCTAGACTAGAGGAAGCCACGGCCACGTGTCAGAGCGGGGAAGATGGCCGCGGTCGTGTTCCTCACCCAAAATTGGAGTTCGCAAACAAAAGCAAAATTTTGCTGCACTTCCTGTTTGTGAAGCGAATTGTTCACGGACACGAAGCGTACGTGAACCGAGATATTACTGAATAATACGTTTGCAAGGCTATATTTTTAACTACTGTTAAAGCTGAACTCCAGTCAGACAAAAATGGCAAATGAATGCAGCTCTGTAATTATTAATACATCATTAATGTATTTTTTCAAATGCAAGCAGAGCAAGTACCTGAGTTTGACCTGGTCTAAGCCTCTTGCAGTCCCTGTATAACAGAGTACAGACTAGGAGCAGAACAATGAACCAACCAGCGGTGCTGCAGTGCTCATGTACAAACATGGATATGCTGATGGGAGGAGAGAGCAGAATGACAGATAGATGAGCTCATCATTCTGCTTCTCCTCCTTTTATTGTCCAGTCACAAGCTGGGTGAGAGAAGAGACCTGTAAGGCTTACTTAACTGCAACATAGGAATATCAGGTATCCTGCTTTGCCAGATAGGACTGTGCTGGGTGGCAATGCTGAGAAAATCTCTGCATTGGATGGACAGAAATACAAATCCTTTGGCAGCTAAAACAGCTTGCTTACATGTATTTCATCTGTGTATTTAGCTCTTTGCTCAGAGTTCAGCCCTAACAGTGAATGATCCATTTAGACTAATGGATCATATAAGAAATTTTCTCTTTGGATGTTTTTGTGTTGTTTACCAAGTAAAGAGGTAATAAGTTTGATGTACTGAATGTTCATTATGACAAACAATTATTGGGATGTTTCTATTTTTAAGAACACTGAACTTGAAGGTATTCAAGAGTGGTTCATATTTACCTGTTGAAGATGAACTATAACGCTCTGGTTCTTCAATGATTTAATGCATAGGATGATGAGAAATAAAAAGAAAGAAATCAGCAGAGTATACATTAGACAATTCATGCTACAAAAACACAAATGATAAACACAATAAGAATTCTACAAACTCTAAGAAAACACAAAATAATATGGCAAATTCATAATAAAATTGAAAATGTACAGTAAAGGAAAATTACAACAATTAGTGAAATAAAAGATATAATGACTAAATGAACCAGTAAAAGTTTGCACTTCGTTTGGTCCAAGTCTGATGGGGAAACAAATCATTTAAAAATTATTCATTTCTTAGACTTTACATGCAAATGAACATGCTGTATACTTTTTAGTTGCAGTTTTCCTTTTAAACATATCAGAAAAGAGGTGCAAGCTTTATCTGAGTTATATATAACTGCTGCCACATTCTGGCAAGGTTTTCTATACATTAGAACAATGTTTCTGAGTAATATTTATAACAGAAAACAGAAGGTAATTGCAATGGATTTCAAACTTGCTGAACTACATGAAATGACAAAGTTTAAGCATGGGTGGTAAGACAACAGCAACATGAAAACTAAGAACATGCTTAATAAGTAGAACAAGACATGCACATACGGCACTAACAACTATTTATTTTATGGAGGTAATCATTTCATAAAAGGACTTTGCTAACTCAAATACTCAAGCACCAAAGTGAACCTGTCACACATGAGATAACATCACAGGGTTGTAGAAGAGGCTACAAGTAATGAATCAATTGGACAATTTAAACTGAAGATGCTTTTGTTAAATAATCAGCAAAGGAAAATCAGCTGCCTTTTATTTAAATATCAATGCTTTATATAATGTTCAGTAGGATCTCACACACTCTGGACAATGGACTAGACAGATATTTAGACCGATCATTTAAAATATCTGCAGTAAGATCACATTTTTTAATATTAATCTAGACACTGAAAGATTTGGTAAAAACATGCTGCTATTCTTAGTTAGTGAAAACCAGCATGTCCAAATGCAATTTTCTTGGTAACAGGTACCCATTAAGAAATTATAATAATTATATTACAATAATGTGGGTGTAGAAAATGGATTAATGACAGTGTTGGTAACGTTACACTTTATGCGCGTAGTAACAAACTATAAAAATGTCACTTCACTATATACCAAAAAAAAAAGATTTTAAAAGAATGTGTATTACGGTGATTTTTTTTGTATCAATGATTTGAGAATGTTCTGTTTTTATTACCATTATAAATACCACATAAGCATTTTATTCTTAAAGTCAACAAAGAAAGAGTGCCATGCTATATAACAAAAGTAGGCCACATAAGTGTAGATGTTAAAAACTGGCAGATTGTTTGGTTAACCTGCTTTCTGATTACAGCTGTGTCTACATACAGGTATCTGCTAATTACATGGCTGGGAACTGTGGTATTCTATAGTATGTAAACATTAATGATCCTGCGTAATTTAGATGCTGCAGAGGTTTGGTTCACCTCAACACTGGATATACTCAGTATGCCAAACTAATTAGTTCTACTGGTATTCAGTTATAAACAATGTGACCTCAGAAACTGTCTTTATTTGCTTAGTTTTGGTGAATGTTTGTCACAATTTTGAATGACAGTCACCATACCAAAATATTAATAAACATATTATTATTGTTTATTAAAGGAGAATTATGAGGTGAGTGATTTTCACTCAGCCTCATAATCTGAGCCGACCTGTGACAATGAAACTGTCACAGGTCGGCTCAGTAGATCGGGAAGTGAGCGAACACATACTGGCGCTCGCTCACTTCTCAATGTATCCCTGCAGAGAGCCGTGACTGTCACTCACGGTTCCCTGCAGGGATTCCCCTCCCATCCGATCCTCCAGCGCTGACTGGTGGAACGAATGGGGGAGGGGCGGGTACAGCTGGCTCTGCCTCTAGATAGGCAGAACCAGCTGTCACTCACGCAGCTGGGTGGATCCAGACAGAACTGTCGGGATCCGTTCCGGCTGCGGCGTCTCAGTATACTGCGAGCTGTAGCTCGTGGTATACTGAGCTTTGGGTGACGGGAGGACGCTAGTTTGTGTCCTCCCGTTACCTTAGGAGAACTATGGGGAAAAGCCCTAACCCCATAGTTCTCCTTTAAGGCTTATAAAACAGCAAAATAATAATGGACTTGCACAAAAAACAGCTTCACATCACACCATACATGAAGTTTATAACATCCTTTACCCATTCATCACCCACTACCATTACTCCCAACAACAAGCCATTGTTTTGTGAGAGGATTATCACACAAGGATATGACTGACAAGATCGCGCTTGAGCATAGGCCATAAATATAGAATTAATATCAATCTGCTTAACGTGTACACATTTATGGTAATCAAATAAAGTCCTTCATTATTTTATTTCTATATTTCATACATCTATATAATGAAAGAAGAAAGTCAACATTAAGGCTACCCATCTGTCAAGGGTGGAATTGTTAAACAACTATTTATGTTATAACTTATCGCTAAATAACAGAAGTCTACTTTGTGTTAGAATCAAAGGTTTTTTTTTTTCTTACATGAGAACCATTAAAAAACAAGAAGGTTAGCTCTCGGAGCAAATGGGTTTAGTAAATAAAAGTGTGATTGGCAACTGTTCTAATTGCTAGGTCTAACAATAGAACGCACAAATCTCTTAATAAATCCAACTTCATGAAAGTGTCTCATAAAATTAAGGCAATTCCTATATGCAATTCACCTTAAAAGTTATTAAAATCCCTTGCACATACAAAGCAAACACCATACATAAGCAAAACAAAATTCATAATCCTATTAATGTCTACAAACTATAATTTAAAAAAAAATACATAACCAAATCTAATTTAAACCCAATACTGTATGTCAAAGCTTGCAAATTGTAGGTCATATCTTGTAAATTACTGAGCTATGTTTCCTTATCTTGCACACTGTTATAATACAATTGAAGAGCTTAGCTAAGTAGGACACAGAGCACGTTTATAGATACCACTACATCAGCACGAGTTGGTTGATATAGAAGCAGGTCTAGAGATGTCACAACAGCAGCTAAAATGAATAATATCTGCTAATAGACGAGTAAAGAACATGATGTGGCCAATGTTTCAGTTGACAGTAAAGAATTAGGAAGATCTTATTGTTTTACAAAGATTACATTTTTGTGTTTATTTGTATAATTTTTGTTTAAATTCCCAAAGACAGCATGTTTTAAATTTAAATACACAGGAAATTACTATTACTGTTATACGATCAGTGTACCCAAAAGGGAACACATATATATGCAGTGTTCTGAATAGACATATTTCCCTTAGGAATGACAATAAAGTATTAGTCTACCATGCAGAGTACAATAGTTGCTCAAGATCAGTAAGCACATCACTGCTGGCATCCATGAAGTCAAAAAGCTATCAGTTTAATGAATAAGTTTCAATTAAATTGCTCAAGCAGACAGTTTATACCACAAGAAAGTGCCAGCTTTCCCCATGAGTACCTGAGCTCTGCTCCATTATCTTTCATAAGCACAAAGAACCATTCACCAAATCAGCTGCAAATTACATAAGGGGAGCAACAGCCCTGGGATTAAAGATCCTCCTTAAGGTGCCCATACACTGCACGATTCTCGTACGAGAATCGCGGGAAATCCCGCGATCGTACGAGAATCGTGCAGTGTATGGAAGGCGTGCGACCGTTTCTACTGCACGGTCGCACGTCTTCCGTCGAACCAGCATATTAGAAAACCCGCCGGGAATCGTATGATTCTCGGCGAGTTAGTGGCCTGCTAGTTCGACAACTGCCGAACGGGCCGGTTTGCAGTCATCGTAAGCCCGCCCCTCAGGGGGGCGGGCTTGCGATGATCGAGAGTACGATCTGCCTGTCCAAGATGGGCAGATCGTACTTTTTTAAAGTACTTTACAACCATCGCAAGACTAAGGTTTTGCGATGGTTGTAAAGTGTATGGCCACCTTTACTGCATAGCCTGACAATGAATTGTCAGTGACTTGATGAAGGCAATGAGACCCATGTGGTTCTGATCCATAAAGAGAGGATGATGACTAAGAAAAGGTACATTTGTGGGACATTCTAAGTAATTTTTAAATCACTTTGCATTAACCCTATAACTTCTTTAAATGTGTTTATTTTATTACTATTATTATTATGTGCCAAATAATTATTCCCTTCCCTGGCAACCAGTCAGAATTCATATTTCTGTTAATCTGACCCAACCTCTAATCTGACTGGCTGCTATAGATTACTACGTAGTCATTTGGATGTAGTAATTTAATTTTACACTACTTTTCTTTTTATAACACTCTGCACATATTATAGAAAGGGTTCAGACTATGCAGCAACTATAGACATCACATTGGTATTGTTTCAGGGCCTCAATTGTCCTGTAATCTATCTAGTTGCATTATGGCTTACTAAGGAAATCAGCTTGCACTGAAGTAGATGTCTGCAGAACCTCTAGCTACGCAGCAGACAGTAGTCACATTTCACAGAGGGGTGGTTGCAACATGATATGATGTTGATCAATGTAGGCTGAAAAGGTACAGTTATCATAATGGATACTCATAATCAATATACACTGGTTGGAGATACAACTATGTACCACAATGATATTTGCACAAGCCTTACACTGAACAAACTGCAAGACTTCAGCTCCAGCGATAGCAAGATCAATAATAAAGTGAGCAACATTCTAGTACATTGTTTTTACTATACTTTTTAGTTATATTTAGTATTTGCTTTACTACACAGGAAATTCAAAAATACTTTGCCATGCTAACAAAAGCATATACATATGACATATGCTTATAAGATTATATATAGATATATCTATATCTATATATATAGATATAGATATATCTATACTGTATATATTTTTATATATATATATTTATATATAATATATATATATATCATATACAAAGAAATTATCAATTATGATGTTTGCATCAGCAATCACGTCTTTTTATCAACTGCTTGTGAAATATACTTTGGAAAAAAATAAGAAATACTCTTCTGAAAAAAGTCTAACAAATTAAGATTGCACCAACGCTTACAACGTACAGAACTAAACAAAAAACACAAAATCAAGATGTAATGGGGGGAATTTATGAAAACTAGAGCAGACAAAATCTGGAGCAGTTGCCCATAGTAACCAATTCGCTTCTCTCTTCTGCTTGTTCAGTTAGGCTTTGAAAATGAAAAGTAGAAGCTGATTGGTTGCCATGCACAGCTGCTCCAGGTTCTGTCTACTCCTTTCAAATTAAACTCCCCTCAATGTTGTTTTGAAATAAAATATTTCAAGATTGGGCATTTAGGTGTTAAAGGGTTCCACCATATTTGCTTTTAACAAACTACTTTCAGTGCAGCACAGCAAGAGGAAACCATGTTGTCAATTGGTGGAAATGCAAGAAACTAAATAACTGCAATAAAAACCCATCTGCATTCATATTTAAACTATCTCCAGAGTAAGATGGACCATGTTTATCGGGTCCATATAGGCACACTAGTCTTTCCTTTAAACATCTTAATATTATATAATATTAAAATTATAATACCAATATGTAATGTTAACATGATAGCATTGCAAATGACAGATCCAATTATACATGAAAAAGTGTCGCAATTAATTTTAAAGTAAAACAGGAAGACATTTTTGCTATACAGATTTTTCTCTCTTGATATTAATAGGCAATATCCAACCTATATCTATTTTTCTAGTAATTTAACAGCAATACGAGGGCTGAAGACGTCACATGCAAAAATATTTTGTTTTGGCAAATGCGCTCCTGTTAGATATGTGCACATTCTTACTTACTTTTAACTAGGATAATAGGTGCCCTTACAGTCTATTAAATACCTTTTATATACTGCAATATTTTTAGCAGCCACCATGTACTTGCAGACACATACAAGAGGTATGCTTAGTGCAATGTTTTGCAGTACTTTGCTTCTATGTGTTCATATATCCCTACTCTTAAGTAGTTATTCAAGAGAACCCATTATTAGTTTATTTAATCCAGCTGGCCCAAATTAATGCACCTAGTAGGTATCATATAAACACTTTATTTTCCTACAGTGAACGTTTAAAGATTCACAATCACATCACAAGAAGAGTTGGAAAGTTTGAAGAACTATTATAACTCATCTAAGCTTCTGCACTCATCCACAACATGCTGTAATACAAAAAACTGCTCCATTTTATAGTATAAATTCTGATATGGTATATACACGATAAATAATATTATAAACATTGACTCAATAGTTATCTTCATGTATTGCCTATATAATCACACTGCTGAGAATGTTTTTCCCAAACAAAACAGAAAAATATGGAACGGATTGCTAATAAAAAACAGTATGGCCATCCAATTGGGTCACACAGTTTGGGTAAGTGACTTTACATAGATATCCACAGATTAATGACTTGCAAAAGTGATATAATGCAGTTTTGCTTCTGTATCAAATTCATGGTTTGGTCATGGTGTAAATCTCACAAGCAAGACAATGCTTTACAAAGACGTAGAGCACAATTCTATTTCTGCACAACACAAAAGTATTTGGGTAAGCATATGCAAGCATGACTAGACATGAAACCTTGCACAAAGATATACACTTAGAAAGATAATCACTTAACAATAAATACACAGCAAGACCATTAGTAATCCACCAATCCACACCAAAACTCATAGAACAAATAAAAGCACAAAACACTGCTCTCAAGTGTGGATGGTCACTTGGGCTACCTTGTTCTACACTGTTGCTTCTTACAGGGACCTGTGGAAGCTGCCTTCCTCTTCGATTGAATGAAGAATCCCCCGTGGATGACTGGCTTCCTAGTTGATGGTTTCTGTAAGGTCACAAGCACAAGTTACTTCAGAAATCTACACATACGTACAGTTTTTGTACATTTGGAATTTCAAAATGTATTTGTAAAGTTTAAAATAAGTCAGATTTTCCAGGGCACAAAGACTCTAGAGAATGTGAACAGATATGAGCAAATAGGTCTTTGTGAAATGGATATGCTTCCAATTCCAACTAATTATTTTGCTCATAAACCAAAGACCATATTTATAAGGTTTTACTCATCTGTAACCAGATCAGTTTAATACACATGACAATTTTCTTAATATTTGCTCATTTCTGCTTCAAAAACCTTCCAACACATATTAACAATAAACATTTAAGTCATAAATAACATTCATAATATTGCCTTAATTTTTTATTCTTAAATCTAAATTAGTATGCTGCCCTTTGCAAAGCTTACTCTTACTCTCTGGTGTCTCAATGGCCATTGAACTTACCAGAGGGTCTGCTGACAGGCCCTGATTGGATCCTTTATTGCAAGTAGAACAGAGAAAAAACTTGCTTTACTGCTTCCTAAAATTGTAAGCTGATAAACATATTTCTAATTATTGTGTGTAGGGTTGCACAGATACCAAGTACAGTACTCGGTACAAGTACGAGTAGACGTACCGATACTTTTGAGCTCCAAGACTACACTGGAGAAAAATTCAAAAATTAGGAGGCAGCTGTCATTTGTAAGGCGCACACGGAGCTCCTGGGATTTGTACATCTCTGTTTCAATGTACGATTTTGTTTTTATAAATATAAATAAAGGGATACACAGATACCAGTTTTGCGAGTACGAGTACTGGTACTTGCCGAGTACTTCCAAGTACGAGTACTGATACATTTTTGTTTATTGTCATGTGACAGTTTTTCTAAAACAATACAGACTAATGATTTCAGGACAGTGGTGGAGTGCCAGAGCCCGGTCCCAGCCGCAACCGCTGCAATCCTGGTAGTTCTCATGAAAATGCCAAGTATCTGCACTGGTACTCGAAAAGTATCTGTGCATCCCTAATTGTGTGCGTATGCCAAATAATATCTATAACACACTATATATACTACTTTGACCTTTAGGTGAGCCATTACAACCACTTAGTTCCAAATACTTCATTTGTTTTATCCTGTGCCATAATTATATACAGTAAGTATACCACCAAAAAGTGAAAAACTATAATGTACATTCATGCAACATTATAACATAACATAATAAAGATTTAAAATTGCTCTGACTTTTTAAGGTGTATGTCCTAATCCAACAGCCCCTATCCCTATGAAGCTATCGTCCAAGAAAAATAAAAACTTATTAACCAAAAGTGCAAATTTAATGTAGTGATAAAATAAATATGGATCATCTGATAGCGCTACCTAAAAAAAGTCAAGTGCTGGAAGCTCCCTACTTTCACCTATCAGCTGGCAGAACAGATTGTGCATTAAAGTCTATGAACTCTTTACAGTCTGGCCCACAATCCCCCACACCTTGGTAGCTTTTGTGAAACAAGTCAATCTCAGCATAAATGTTATGCTGCTCTGTCTTGTCAGGTAAAACCTATAACCACTGATTACCGCAAGGAGCCTTGTCAGTTACTGTCCCATGTGATCAAACATTGGGAAAAATAAACATTTTAAATAAATTATTTCTACAAATTTTTCCTATTATTGTTAGATGCCTGGAGTTCAATTTTAAAGTTGCTTTCTATGGTTCAGCAATCTTCCCAAGGTCTGCGTAAAGCTGATCACACACAGTTTGAATTTTGGCCAATTCCTTTTGAATCAGCCCAAATTCAAGTAGTAGGTGACCCTACAGACTGGGCCAGGTAAAAAATTATTGGCAGAACAGTGGAGGCATCCTATCAGATCCAATTACCATTTGGGTATTCAAGCAGCCATGGGTGCTGCAGCTGCCTGCATACAATAGCTAACAGTGGATATTCCTCCAACCATACTGTTTAACATAGATGGAAGAATCTATTGATTCTATTGATTTTCTCTCCTTCAGCCACGTGTATGCTTAGCCTTTCTCTCCAAAGCTTTCTATGTGATCCAGCTGATTAAGAGGTAGATTAACAGTTAATGTTTTCCTTCACTCTAGGATTTCTGCAAGAGGAATCAGTTTTTTTCAGTTCAGCCCAAAAACTGAGCAAAAAAATTCTAACAGTGTATACCCAGATTTAGTTTTAGAAGGTGCTTTAAAGCATGCAGGCAGTGCTCAGCTTTCTTTTTGGAAAGACCAAGAAATATTGCAAACTGGGTGTCATTGATGTACCCTGTAATAAATGTCTATTTGTAAAATTAAGATTGTGTACAAATAATGAAAACATGTCAACTTGTAAATGTTCAAACAGTAAAAAAAACGACCAAAAACCCTTACACAGTGACTTTTTCAGGTTAGCCATTAATGGTATACACCAAGGATGGGCAAACTCTGGCCCTCCAGCTGCTGTGGAACTACAAATCACATTAGGCATTGCAAGACTCTGACAGCCACAGACATGACACCCAGAGGTAGAGGCATCATGGGGTTTGTAGTTTCACCACAGCTGGCGTTTGCCTGCCACTGGTATACACCAATAAAACATGTTAACATAAATAGAGTGTGAATGGAGGAGTACATTCAGCCATTTAACAGCTCTTTCCTCCATTTACAGAACTCAGTGCATTGTGGATCATAGTAAGAGAAATTCTGTGAATGGAGGAGAGAGCTGAGGTGTGCGGGGCCAGAAGTGCAACTTTACACAGCAGCTGCTCACCAGCTCCTCTACCTGCAGCTGCTCACAGCACCACTGAGTGTAATATCCATTGGCTGTGAGGGGGGCAGTGAGAGGATGATTGTTTCCAAAAGCAGCTGCTGCAAGTGAGAGGATACACAACAATACACATATCTTATGAGTTTGGTGCTATATTCCCTGCCCCTAAAAAAAATCCTAAACTTCAGCTTTAAAGGCAATAATAGAATGTCTTGAGGACTGCAGTTTTACAGTATGGATTTTTAAAGTGCTAATACTGTGGGCAGAATTCTAGGTTATGGACCACAGGCCTCTATATCGGCAGGTAGCTAAAATTTACTAAATCAAAATGGTAAATCAAAGGTGAAAGCAAGTAAAGGAAGACAGAATAGGGAATTTTATAGGTATTCTTTCTATGTTGTTTAGTTAAACATAACCTGGATATCTGCACATGTAACACCTATGAATCAATCGTAAGTACAATCTCAGGATCATATTACCCATGAAGAAAAAAGCCAGGTGACACCACAGCTGGCATAATTTATTCTCACAATGTCTCAACTTCCACACAAGAAAGCAAGGCCTTGTTTTTTTAGAAAGCGATTCTTCATTTGCTGGTCATTGCATTGCTCTAGTTTTTGCCACTCATCCAAATTAAGTCAAAGACATTATCCAAGATATTCCTAATATACAAAATGTATCTACAGCCCAAAAAGTTTTATAGCGTGGGGAAGGTTTAGAACCCTTGCCAGGTCTTTCTGCTGTTTGGGACTCCATTAGAGAGATTTTCCCTAACTCACTATGCTGGGGACAACCTTTTTGCAGCACAGGAAGTAAAGGAAACTCTTCAACAGCAACACAGACAGATATAAAAATGTTTTTTGTAAGTTGAGTAAGGGAATGCTAGAACCCCTGTCAGTTTCCTGTTGTTTGTTTCCCTGTCGTAGATTTTCCTGTCTGGTAAATGGTTGTCCCCACAACAGAAAGTAAGGGAAAATCTCTTTAGCCCCGATAGCAGTAAACCTGAGAGGGATTCTAAGCTGTCTTCATTCCTCACCCCACTCCTATCCCCTAAAAAAAAAAATGGCTTTAGATACACTTTAATACATTTTCACCCTTGCAAATGCAAATACTCATGTTTGCAAAGACCAATATTCAACAATGACTCAGTGAGCTGTTACTGAATTGCAATTTTCCTTAGCAATTATACCACATATGAGCTATGTAGTTTTGAGCACTTTAAATACGATTTAAAAAAAGAACTTGTGACAAAAGAAAACTGGAAATCTGGAAGAATAGCAATAATGTAATGAGCTTTGACAATGAGAGAAGTGTAGCAAGAATAACATATGATGGTTACAAAGTACAGTAAATAAGACAAGTCATAACTGACATTGCAGGTTCCTAATTCCGATAGAAGAAACATGTATAAGACTAATCCTACAATTTTGAGTGGTGGCTGTAAGTGGAACACAGTTCTTATTTAACCCTTTCGCTGCCAAGGACGTACGTCGTACGGAGCTCCAAAAGTGCTTCCGGCTGGCCAGCTCAGTACGTCGTACGGACCTGGCATTTACAGTTCTACTATAAGCTGATGGTAGAATACTTTATGTGAAGTCTCTTGTTCTAAAAAGTTATATGTAAAGAGAGGGAGGCTATTGTGTTTTGCTGCAGTTCACCCTGTTCTGTCATTTTCTTTGCTTTTTCTCCAGCATTTGAAAATTGACATGGTATCATGTCACATCATGTGGATGTGCAAGTGTAAAAATGGTGAAAAGCAGAATTTTCAGCATTCTCTTCACAAGATGTCAGCATATGATGGACATTTACAATTTATTCATCTGCTCCTAATACCTTTATATTAAGGTAATTGCTGACGTATCCCTTTTTCTAGATATGCATGGAAAACCCTCCTACCTTTCTACTTCAGAAACCATGCTTTTTCTGTTCTGTTTTTGGTTGCTACATCTTTCCAATTTTCTGGGCTGCCTGAGATGAAATGATAAATAAAAGAAAACAAAGCAAAGCAGAAATAAAAAGAGAAAGAAACAACAATGAAAATGATTATGTACATACAAAGCATTTTGAAAGGTGAGTAGTAAAACTTCACAATAGGCACATGTGCTTGTATAGAGTATTAAAGTGTACTTGCTACATTGGCCATAGACAGCTTGAGTGTTGGCCAGTTTCTTCTAAATCGTATGAAATCTGAGCCAAGATCGGCCCTGCAAGGCCACCTGACTCAAAAAAAGGCTATTTAAAATCAACTGAGCCAGGTGCAAAATTATTGACCAGACGTCAACTGCAGCAGTGGAGATTACTATACCCAGTTAATGTGGATTGGGGAATCAATTGATTTTCTTTTTCAGTCTGCAGGCTGAACGGCCAAAATTGGAGCCCGTCTATGGCCAGCATTACACATAAGGCAAAATTGTGGCCAGGGTAATTAATCAGCATATCAATTCAACAGGATCTAATTACATCATTGTAAGACAAGGTACTTTTAGGTATATATAAAAGTCAATGGGATTGATTTACTAAAGGCAAAGAGGCTATCCACTTTGCAAGGAATTAGTGAATGAGGTGAAGCTCTGCTGAATTCCTTCATCCAATCACGTGCAAACAAAAGTATATTTTTAATTTTTCTCACACATGACTGAGTATTCTTTGCAAGATAAATGTTCATTACATTCACTAAGCTAAGAGAAATTTCCCTTGGAAAGTGAACAGTCTATTTGCAAGTAGTAAATTAAACCCAATGTGTAGAGAAAAAATTATGTGTAAACTGCAGTTAGCCAAATCTACTTTAGTTTACTGTTGTTGGCTCGGTATGATATGACTTAAAGGGTAATTAAACTAAAACAAAAAAAAATATCTCTAATGTCCCCCAATATAGTTATCCCTATATTTATAGTATCCACAATCTATTTAGCATACAAAATGTAACAAGAAAAAGGGAGCTTTAATTCTACCCTACAATCAAAAATAAGTCCTCATACTTCACCTAACCCAAATAATGCTCCAGTTTTCTAAGCATAGAGTCCTCAGGTGAGGAAAGAGCCATCTGGGTCCACTAGTTGTATTTTACTTGAATTTCTCTTTCTTGAGACAAAACTAGGGACTTTGGGTTAAAAAAGATGCTAACATCCAGAACTGCATGTAAGAATATGCTGCTCTGCCTTTGTGAGTTATTTTTTTTATGCTCTAAATATACTTCACTAGGATATATTGCTAGTGTTTTACTAATAAAAGTAAAGGTTTTGTGAGTCAAATTACATTGAGCCAATGTAGGTATAGCTTTCGATTTAGGTTTATGCTCCAGGACACTGCTGCATGAACCAATGATGGCAAAAAGCAAGTAGGAAAGCACAGTCATTAAAGACACATATATTCAGGCTCCAGTTTGAGACCACTTGTAGAGCTACAAGTACAATGACTTAATAAAACTGTGCATTTAATAAGCTGGTATGGCTTACTGCACTTTGCACACAATCACTGCTCTCTGGACATCTAACCTAATAGGTAGGCCTGCTTGTGTCTCCAGCTTCCATTGTAATATAGTCTGGAATGTCTGAAACTGCGAGTGGACAAGTTCACTTTAATAATCTTTACCAAACTTGGTTTAAAATGTTTGATAAGAAAAGTGACATTTATTGTAGAGTACAGATTAAGGGACAATACACATGATAAAAACATATGCAGATTTCAAGTACAGGTATGCACTGTATAATGTAGATGAACCAGTGAAACATAACATACAGTATATGCATAGTTTTTGGCAAAGCGTAAATCTGTGTGAGCAACAAGAAGGCACAATAGTTGAGGCACGCATAGATCAGTAAAAAGTCATTACTTGTCACATATTATTCTAATTAGTAAGCTTAAGGATATCAAAATGCTCACCCAATTAGTGCTTCAGGTTACATCTTCCGTCTTAAAAATAATATTATAAAAGGGTACATTGTTCCCATTTTCACACATATAAACACTACTACCTTACATAGAATACTTGTTTTTGAAATGGTGTTGTGTATGTGACCTGGCAGTATTAGATCAGACTACCTGAAGCATCACTTGGGGTTGAGGAATACCTCAACCCCAAGCTAAGAACCAAATCCATAATACAGTTTTACCTTCACTTCAGTGCTTGTGTACCTTCTCTTTAACAAAATGGAGCATCATTGCAATCTGACCCTCAAGTGTTTAGGGAAAGAAAATCAAGGAGACAGCTCAGAGGCAAGGATAGCATTTATAAAATGTCTGAAATACTGCTCTTGACATAATATTTTCTTGGATGAAATTGCATTATTTTGAAGGCCTCACTCTGTAGTTTCCTACTCTTAACTGTGTGGTTTCCATTGTCTGCGTACAAGTTTAGTAACAGACTTCTTTGAAATATGTCCGTGTACACTTTTATGAAATGGTGATAGACATATCTGAATTTTTACTTTTATTAAGTGTACAGATTTAAATTCCAAGTATGGCTTACCCTAGGTATATAACCCCATAGTTTTGCTTGAAACCCACAATTGCAGACTCTGAGTTCGCATAGAGTCTGCGTAAAAGAAAAAAAAAAAAAAGAAACCCACAATTGCAATTGTACTTGAATATCTGAGTTGCAAAACATGAGGCGATTAGGGTGGGCCTTGGGGGTAGGAGGCATTTTTCCCCATGGCCAGTACAAATATATGCTTGGCTAGTGGCCCTGTGTAGTGATAATACCCCATTCAGACCTCAATCAATGTGGAACATGCAAACAACTGCTAAGGTTATACAGCTATTTGTTAAGACCTGTCCTTCTCAGAACCAGTTTCTTTGAGATATCAATCACCTTCCACCATGACCATTAATTACTGCAGAATACTTTATATGGCACTTTTAGACCACATGAAACTGTCCCTACTATGAAAGGACCAATTGGTTGTGTATGCTTCCTAGATAAAAAGTTTCCTCTTATCTCCTTAAGAGGATAACCCTGACAGCTTCCCATAGCATTTGCTGTAAACTTGGGGAAGAGTTGGGTAAAGCTGGTTACACATTTTACAATGTAATTGTGTAATCTAAAAAAAAAATCCTTTATGTTTAAGTTTAACAACAATATCAGCAGGAAGTGCAGGGACCTGCCCTTAGAAATCCATTCAATCAATTGATATCCAAACAAGTAGACCCTTATACTACATAGTTGTTTTTAAATCTAAAGGATATTGTGCAGTCACATTGTAACATAATGGATAGTTTAAGGAGTATCACCATGGACAAATCACATAGAGAACTAGGATATCTGCATGTCTCTGAAGTGATTACAGAGCACAATCCTCTGCAGTGACCATCACACCTAATTCTTGGAAAGTTAAGAGTATGCACAGCAAAACTATTGTCTGTTATTCCACTGAAATATGGAACAAATTATTTTGGCAGTAATAGATTTCCTAGTATGTTGGGCAACACCCGCCACCAATTCTACATTCAGGATCAGTTATAGCACATTTCATATATTACAAGAGAGAGATATTCAAAATTGTTCCACCATGTACAAATATTGTAGCAGTCAGTCTAACCGCAACAAGCTGGAACACTGGTTTGTGGATTGTGTTTGTTGGAAACATTAACTCAAAAACTGCTCAGTTTGTATTAAAAACTGTGTTACATATAAAAATGTACTTTGGGATTCTCTATTTCATATTCATGTCCACTGCATCTGGACCCGTCCCTTCAATTCCTAATGCATTTGAGTTTTGTAATGATACAACACAACACACAGCATGACAAAGCTGAAATGAAAAAAAATAAAGTTCTGAATGACATGAAAAGAAAAAAAAAAAGGAAAGAGAAAACCACTACGACACATGATAAAAATGAATAAGTCTGGTTTATACCTTTCTCGTTCTGGTGAATGCAAACTAGTATCTGGCCTCAAACAGTTGGTACTAGCACTCCGAGCCCTGTCAAGGGAGGGCTGTAGTTCACTAGTGCCAGTGCATTGCATCCAGTGGTAGGAGAAAGAGGAATAGAAAAGAAAACAAAGGAATACAATGTTAGATAGAAAATCATAAAAGGTAATGTTTTCTTAGCATAAGATGTAAAATCATCGTGACAGTTCATGTTTGCAGGAGTATGAATGCACCCAGCTGAATACAAACAAACTTATGAAGTTATGAAGGTAATAAACCTCAAGCACACAATGTAATCCGCCTGGCCTTTGAATTTTACTGGGAATATTAAACGTATACCAAAATGAATTGGCAAATTAAACATTCCTAGGAGTTGGCAATTTTAAGTTTAAAATGTTGGTTCAGTTTGGGTAAAAGGGGATTCATATTCTGAAGGAAATATTTTAGAAGTGTAATGAGTAACTTGTGGATGCAGATTCTGCTTGTGCCAATTTCACTTGACACTGGAGGGAGGAACAGAGGTTTGCCCCCTGCAACTCTGCAGTTTATTTAATCACCTAAAGAGCACACTTCTTAAAGCACTTGGTCAATGGAGGTCAGCAATAAACAGGGTCACATTCTCAATATTTGAAGTCAAATCATTATGTACTACTGCCTTGTGGTGCTCACTCCAAACTCAATAAGTTCTTTATTAGAAGACAGCGCTTGTGTAGACATGATGCATTCTAGAAATGAGACCCAACAAATTCAGAGGAAAAAACAATATGTTTTTATCATGTACAGTATGTAAAAAAAAAAAGAATGTCTATGAATAGAAAACATCTGCTGTCTATGCTGTTCTGTTCTGCCCACCATCTGTCCACTACTTTTGGTAAAAATAGGAGCACATAGAGGCATATGTGTCTAAGGATACATGATATATTAGATTGTGTTAGTATGAAAATGTGCAAGATAATGAAGAGACTGTATAAGCTGCAGGAAATATGTTGTTGTGCATTTGATAACCTATTTGGATAGTAGTTTCACCTATAAACTCATAAAGCCTGAAGGTAAAACCACAACTTGAGCATGTATATTATTTACCAAATAAACATAAAACCTTACAATACTTATTCCTCTAGCTCAGCGTTTTTCAACCACTGTGCCGCGGCACACTAGTGTGCCGTGAGATATTTTCGGGTGTGCCGTCAATAAATCGTTAATTTCTTTGATCGATCAAAATTATTTTGATCGATCAAAGTTACTCACCTCTCCGCCGGCTTCCGGGTCTTCCGTCGGAGATCCGGTGACGTCACGGACACCGACGTCACCGGACTCCTCCCCCCTTCCCCGAGTGGCTCTGTCGGCTAACGAAGGGAAGGGGGGAGGAGTCTGGCTTCTCCCTCGGCCCTGGCCACGCCTCCTCGTACACCCGGCAGCTCGCTTTCAGGCCCCATCAGCCTGGGGACACAGAGGATGACATGGTGGGGGCACACAGGATGACATGGTGGGGGCACACAGGATGACATGGTGGGGG